ATTAATTATTAAAAAGCTGAACAGCTGACTACGAATGTTTTAAAATCACAACCCTCAAACATCTAAATATTATATATGAGTCTAGCTGTTGTTGTTAATACCGAGAAAATAAAACCAGTTTTTAGTGGTATATGTTGTTATAGTAGCAGCAGAAACACTTTGTGAAAATTTCGAAAACTGTCTAATGACACACAGACGGTAAAATTTTTTTTTTCGTATTATTCATACACACAGATAATAAACAAATATTATTAATAATAAAATACCACGTCTTTACTTTGAATTATGCAAAGTAACAAAACACACATGCACCGAAGTTTTAACACAAGCGTAAGTAGGTAGGTACCTACCGTATCATGATTCATTCAGAACCGCATATAACTCCCTATTTCACTCGTCTCAATAACTTTCCGTTACTCTATTTGCTTTATTTATTCATCTAAACACCTTTTTTTTCGTGATATAAAAGGAAATATTTATCCATTAAAAAGACACACATTATGTACCTACCTACTACTAAGTAAAATTATTTTATAGTCTTACCTTTCAGAGTTTCCAGGTAATTTAAAAAGCTTATGTCTGGATGCGTTATTGACGAATTCATACAACCAAAAACAGCACAATATTTCCTGCTCGTCATATTAACTGATTTTTAGAGAAAAAATGTTGTTAAAAAAACAACACACAGTCCGTTCGACACTGCGGTACAGCCGTGAGTGTCTGCGCCCCGAGCGCACCCCGAGATCGAGGCGCGTAGGTATAGCTCGCGTTTCGTCCGTTTGTATGAAGTTGGAGTACTGTATTATAATAGTACCGTGGTTATGGCCTACTATACCACTCAAACATTTAGACAAAATAAAAATGTTGCTTGTAATGTGTACTAATAACACGATTTAATGCTATTATTAATATTAAATAGTAACTATTATTATTAATTAATAGATATATTAAAACATGGTCACCTTGTTACCTGAAATAATAAGAGTTGCTTAAGTCAATCGTAGAAATGTATTTAGAATACCTAATTAAACTTTCTGTGTATACTAAAGTCCATATAATAAAAGTTATAAATAAATAAATATATAAGTATAATAATAATAAATAAAATAAATTTAAATATGTAAACGACCAAATTGTTTATTAACAAAAGATTACAAATGACACGGAAACACAGACAGACGGTCGCCCATTCAAAGAAACTTCCCAAAAATCTTCCTGCAATTTTCTTAAATACATTTGGGAAACTGACAGGAATATACTGACGGAAGCAGTAATTAAAATACCTGTTTCCCAAATTAACATAAAACTATTTGGCTTGATTGTGTTGGTGATTAATCCTAAGTAAAATTATAAACGCAAATGTGAATTTGTTTGTTTGTTTGTTACGCTTACACTTGTAAATTATATATTTAACAACTTTATTAAAAACTATTATTATTCTTGTTAAAATGATACTTTTAAATATTTCTAAGAAATTATAAAATTAGGTGTTTACACCTATTAAATACGACTGACTTTTTGCCAAATAAATGTTAATTATTTTAATGACAATTTTAAATGCCAAATATATTTGCCTAACCTATAATTTTTGATCAAAAACCATTTTCTATAATTAACAAATTTATTTTCAATTTCTAAAAAGTTAATTTGTATTTTTCCATTTTTATATACGTATTTTTTTAAATTGCATTTGTATTGGTAAAATAATCAAAGAATTTGTCAACTTTTTTTAATATCTTGTGATTGTACAGAACACTATAATCCCTCTTCATATGTTTAATATTTTAATTAATATCTCTTATAGTCATTATAATTTAAAATAAATATAACTTTCTATGTAAATCTAACAAGTAGAAATATAATAAAATTTATCTATAAAACTAATTATTTAAAATTTGTAGCAAAATACTTGTTCCTTTGATATGCTTTAAAAAAAAAAAGTTGTTCTAACCGAAAAACGTTTTAACCACTTTAGCTAGGGGTGGGGCTCATAGCTGGCCTTCCTCCCCACCCCTTTAGCTTCTACAGGCTTATGATGTACCTTTTTACATTAGGTAGCAGTAGTTTGATCATCTTTAGTAATGGATGGTATATGTTACAGTCAGAACTCTTAATCGGTCAAAGGTATTCTTAATCGGCGGCAAAATCAATCAAAAGTATGATCATTGTTCTAACCTAAACTAACCGAAATGATTCAATAATGGTAGATTGTGTCTGACACAGCGGTCACACACTTTAGACTGGTGAAGAGTTCTTATTGTAATCTAGTATTTAATATATTTACGTTAGTAAATCATTCTATTTAAAAAGTGGTGGATTTAATAAAAATAAATGTATGGTGGAGGAGGCAGACGAGCAAACGGTTTACAGAAAGTGACTAAATAAAACTATATATAAAAACTGTTAAAAAATGTCTTAGAATTAAAGTAGAATTCGAGTTACTTTAAAGAGAAATAAATTTGTTTCTGACTGTCAGAAAATTTATAGGTACCTACCTAATGTCGTAGATATTTTCTCTCAGTCAAGCTTCAGATGATTCAAAGATGTGATTGGCAGGTGTATAATTATAGTTGTATACTTAGTCATAGCGCAAAGGTTTATTACGTACTACATTTTATTATAAATTGTTATATTTTGTTCAAAAAGTTATCTGGGGAACGAACTGTAAACCTTAATCATACAATTTCAAGCTTGTTTCATATTTGTTATTACATAAATTCAAACTAGATCTTCTGGATCTTAAAAAGTAATTGTTTATTTATTTCAAAAATGATAAATAATCGTGCAAAACTTCAAATTAACACCACTATGATATTGTACGTACTATAAAACGGCAATAAAATATTACTTATGCCCATGTGTTATTTTATTTACAATGTTGAACCCTGAATTATTTAATGAAAGCTAAATAGACTATAATTTATATATCAAATAACCGGGTGAGCTGGTGCGGGTAGGCCCTGATGAATGCGGAAGAATCGTAAGTAGTATGTCATGATCATGGCATTCCATCTCTACTTACCCTGGACAGGAATGAATCGTGTTTGTATGTTTAAAACAACTAAATATTGAAAACTATCTGTCAATTGTATGAATAAAATCCTTGTCAATTTTCTTTTTCTGAACCTAAATTCTTGTTTCGTATCGTCCGAAAACCATAACTTTCCTAGGAGGTTGTCCATAAAAGAAAAGCAGACAATACCCTTTCCAATGTCATAAATTACGGACCCAAATTGGAAAAAAGGAAGAAAAAAGATAATTCACCCACACTTTGGGCAAAATGTTTTATTAAACTCATCACGCATTTGAACACATTTTGCCCAAAATTTTCAATGTTAATAGAACTTTTCAAAACGCAAGCCAAATTAAATAAGACAGTAATTTGTTATCTGACGCAAAATTTCGACACATAAATGCCTCTTCCTGGTTTAAAAATTACCTCATTATTGCGATGTTTAAAATTACTTACTTACTTAAGAAAGCATCGCGTAACGATTTATCAGTATGAAAAGAAAAATAAGCCTTCAAGTGACTTATGATTTAAATCAAACTTCAGATAAGAAGATTTGTAAGACGTCATGTCAGGAAATACTTTATTATATTGGGATATTTATCATATATTCACATTTTGGCACTGCGCGAGCACTGAATTACGTTAGGCAGAGAGCCGGCCACAAAAGGAACCTTTTGCTTTGCAGGGCCGATGAGCGCCGGTCACAAATAAATTTGGGAAAACGACAGAAAAATTATGATGAGTGACTCATGTTATTGTGTTAACATAATATATACCACCAAATTACCCAAATGTCGTATAATGCGTCAATAATGTTTACAAAAACAGGCTCACATGCATTAAACACAAGAGATAAAACATATCTCGCCGCGTAGTCTCTATGATTTAATACATTCTTGTGTTGTTGCCGTATTGGGTTATTCTCTAAGTTTTCTGATAACTTTAACCCACTGTAAAGACTTAAAAGACAGCGAGTAAAATTTATTTTCTTAGCACAGAACCACTAAAGCATATTAAATTGTTAATAAATCATCATCTTCCTGCACCTTTCCCAATATTAATTCGGTTCGACGCAATTTTTCAGGGTTGATGATGCCTTTTAGAACTGTTTAACTGAAGCAATAAAAGGATCTAGCTCCTTGGGATTGTGATAGTTTATTTTCATCTGGTCTTTCCGACAATCTTTGGGTGCTGCATGTAAAATATGTTTTGATGCGAGGGATTTGGAGCATTAGAAATATTTTTCTCTCCGTCAGCTAAGATATTCTACTAAGTGCCTAAAACTAAGTGCTTCTAGAAACCTAGTCTTTGTTACTTGACGTAGATGGCAATAAGTTTTTCCCCTATTACGTAACTGGCACTATAGGTAGGATAGGTAGGCGTTTACTACACCTCTATCTATCCCTTCGGTGATAGAAGATATGAGTGTATGTGTATCATCATCATCACTTTCTGCCTTATTCCCAATTAAATTTATCATAAAAAAGAAATATTTCATCACTATTTATGGAGGAAAATCCTTTATGTAAAACAATATATCAAATTCATCTTTTTAATTCGAATACTGAGATTTGTTTTGTTGTCCTACTTTATATGGTAAAAGAATTGTCTTCTATGTACTTTAGTTTCGTTGTCCTCTTACAATTTTATAACAGAATAGCCCACCTATCTCTGCTCTCGACAAGGTCACCGCAGATCTTGGGCTTACAACGCTCACATCACAATTAGCACCGCAGATAAGAAGATAACGGGCTTGATAACGCGCAGGACACTTGCGTTACCAAATCATTAAACAATTCGACAAAGTTACTGAACAGTGCCAATAATTACTTCTTCTATTCATTTAAAATTAAAACAAAAAAAAAACAAAAAACTTACAATGTATATCAGTGCTTATTTTTTTTTATCTTAGAATTATTTAGTTTTTAAAATATGATACAAAAAGTTATTTAATTTTCATTTTATCTCCAAAGAGTTTGTAAATAAAATGGAAAATAATACAAAGGAGATAGAATTTGAACAAATTAATCAAGTTTATGATGAGTGTTTAAATTATTTGAAGACATATGAAACAGAACCGCATAATGAAAAAAACGATTTTCAAGAAGATCCAGATTATGACACTATCGCAGAGAAGATGGAAACTGTAAAAACTGAACTAAGAGAAGAGTCGAAACCAGAGTATAAATTGGATAATGAGAAATCTCGAGGCAGTATAGACTCTGTAATTTCGGACCAAAGATCAGAAAGATTAAGAAAATTATCAAAACAACTTCCAAAGATTATAATTACACAAAGTAATACCAGTTTGAACACACAAAAACCGTTAAGATATAATTTCGTATCGAACTTATCGCAAAGTGATCATAGTATCCCAAAAAGTGATAACAGTTTTACGAAAAGTGATAAAAGTTTTACGAAAAGTGATAACAGTTTTACGAAAAGTGATTTTGGCTTGTCGAAAAGTGATTATCGGCTTACGAAAAGTGATCGTAGTGTACCGAAAACTGAAAAAGAATTGAAGTCCATTAAAGTTGTCAAAATAAAGTGAGTGTTTTTTATCATTTTTTAATGTTAATTTTACTGTTCATATTTATTACCGTAGCATTATATTTTTAACATCAACAGCCTTTAATAGTCCACTGCTGGACATAAGCCTCTCCTTAGAAAGAGGGTTTTTGGCCTACTACACCACGCTGCCAAGACGGGTTGGTATAGGGTTTGTGTTATGTTTTCCTTCTCTCTGCAGTGCTGTTCTCCTGCGTAGTTTGCTGCCTTAGTCGGCTCTTACGACACCCACGGGATGAATAGGGGTGGTGACACTCTGTATTCTTAATCCTTCACCACATGGACCTATTTTTAACATGACAATTTAATACATATTATAATTTTTTCATTTTATATTTACTAATTACAAAGTAAAAAGTGTATTTCTAACCTACTATAAAAAGGAGGAATTTTAGTGTATGTTGCCCGATATCTTCACTATTTGTGAACAAATATCATTAAATTAATGATTTAATATAATTAATTATCAAGGTACATCATCATATTCATCATCAATCATCAGCCTTTATTAATCCACTGCTGGACATAAGCCTCTCCTTAGAAAGGAGGTTTTGGCCTACTATACCACGCTGGCCAGGCGGGTTGGTATAAGGTTTGTGTTAAGTCCTTCTCTCTGTAGTGCTGTTGTTCAGCGTAGTTTTCTATCTACATATGTGTAATTTCTTAAATAAGCAATTCCCAACTACATACATATTTCAAATATATAAACACTTCATGTGTGTATTATTGTCATTATAATATACATATATTTAAAAAACTATGAGTCACCGAGGACGTGCATTCAACAGCTACGTAGGTCGCTGGTTCCCACGCGGGTTACACCTGCCGGTTTTCTAAATTTCATTTTGGGTAATGAACGTTAATTTTCACTGCTTTCTTCATTAGCCAGTTAACTGTTTCCTGACACCAAATCTCCATGGTAATAAAATCGTTTACAGACTGGACAATAAAAGAAGGTTAATCCGATTACAGAAGACTGATTGATATAGAAAGAAACGTGGCTTAGTGTTAGTGGTAGTTTTTTTTTATGTTAGAGGGGGCAGACGAGCACACGGGTCACCTGAATGAAAGTGACTATAGCCGCCCATGAACGTCTGCAACTCAGGAGTCACAAACGCGTTGCCGGCTTTTTAGGAAGGAGTACGCTCTTTTCTTGAAGGTTTGAAGGTCGTATCGGTCCGGAAATACCGAGGATGATAGAGATAGCGCTGTGTAACATATCGTAGGATGTCTGACAACATTTTATTCTGATTGTTATATGTGAAAGAGTGTTTGTTTATCATGATACTGGTTGGACATTTTATTGACTAAACGGTAACACCGCTTACTGTTTACTTTTTTACTTGCGGGTCCATGACATTGTCAAGTGTCTTGCGAAATAAAATTATGCTAATAAATGTATCTTTAGCATGTTTACTACAGTAGTAGTCTTTGTGCACAAATGCTATGAGATTATTTTTTTAATTTCATAATCCCTGTGTTGTTTGATTTTACAAAATACGAATAATATCTCACACATCTCACACACGGCCGTCTGATCCCAAACTAGGCAAAACCTGTGCTATTGTATCCAGACTGCTGCTAAACATACTTATATATTTATAAATAGATACATATTATAGATAAATTACAGCCAGACACAGAACAAATGACCGTGCTCATCACACAATATTTGTCCTGGGTGGAAATCGAACCCATGACCGCCGGTTTAGCAGTCAGGGTCGTTAACCACTAGACCAACAGGCCCGTCAAAATGTTTTTGGATTAGACAACTTCTTATTTGAGATACATTATAAATACCCAGAGACAAAATATCCAGTACTTATGACTTATAGGGGAAACTGTAATACACTCATGTGAATGTGTGTTTTCAAACGGCACAAAGAAGAAAGAAGAAGAAAGAAAGAAGTTGACTGAGATTATTTAATCAGATAGGGCGAAAGACCTACAGTAAGTGCATCCTTTGTTTGGAAAAGCCAAAGGAAATTAAGTGGCCTTACGATATGTTACTGTGTTCATAAAGAAATAAATATGGCGGATTCACAATTTATTTTATTCTACCTAATAGAACAGGAAAACAGTTTGGGAAGTCGTGACTCAATGATTTGGAAGATTTGTTTTTAAGTTAGAGCCGCCAAACAACTGAAATGCATGTTGATCAAGGCAAAGTGAGGTTTATACATTTAAATATCACCAAGAATACGGAGTGTCACCATCCCTATTCATCCCGTGGGTGTCGTAAGAGTAGACAAAGGGAGCAAATTACACAGGACAACAGCACTGCAGAGAGAAGGAAAACTTGACACAAACCCTATACCAACCCGTCTGGCCAGCGTCGTATAGTAGGCCAAAATCCCCTTTCTATGGAGAGGACTATATCCTGCAATGGACTATTAAAGGCTGTTGATGATGATGATAATGATATCACCATGAGCTAGTTAACCGTTGTTAGGCAATTTTTATTTTCTTTTCACCGAATTAGTGAGGTTATCAGAGCCCAAACCGTGGGGGGTTGCCAACTCCAAAATGGGTCTCTGGAGGCCAGTTACGCATTTATGTCTCCTGAGTTGCATATAGCCATGGGCAGCGGGAGCAACTTAAATTCTGGTGACCCCTCTGCTCGCCCCCACACCATAAAAAAGATCTTTTTCTGAGTATTGAGCACTTCACAGTCGTTCGAGTTTAGAGAAGAAACAATTACATATACCTACACAAGTGATAAATATTCATAGCTATTTTCAGGCTGAGGTGATTAAACACCCATATTTTTCTGTAATTATAGTTTCAATTATCTCTGTGGTGACGGATTAAGAATACGGAGTGTCAACACTCCTTTTCATCTCGTGGGTGCCGTAAGAGCCGACTAAGGGAGCAAACTACGCAGGACAACAGTGCTTCAAAAAGAAGCTAAATTGGAAACAAACCGTATACCGACCCGTCTGGCCAGTCTGGTATAGTAGGCCAAAATCTCCTTTCTTTTCTTTTTTTTTCTTTTCTTTTTTTTCCTTTTTTGACGACCGAATGGCGTAGTGGTTTGTGTAACGGACTGCTATTCCAAAGGTCGCGGGTTTGATTCCCGCTCAAGTGAAACATTTGTGTGCATGAACATTTAATGTTTGATTTGGTCTGGGTGTTTCTATGTATAATAAGTATGTATTTACAAAAAAAAGTATATTTATGTATTTATATCAGTTATCTAGTAGCCATAGTACAAGCTCTGCTTAGTTTGGGACTAGATGGCGTTGTGTGAATGTGGTACAATATTATTATATATATTTTTATATTAAAGAGGGCTTATGTCTAGCAGTGAACTATTCAAGGCTGTTAGTTTCTATACCCAAACCAAGCAGAACTAGTCTAGTCTTTTACAGAACACGTATAGATCTTATATTCTTAGAGACGTATAGATTTTCTAAATATATTAACGTTTGACAGTTGCAAACGAACAGACCAATGCAAATAGAATTTTGTTTACTCATCAATATTTGCACTAAGCGAGAATCGAATTCAAGACCCAAGACTTAGTAGCCAGATGACTGCGTTATGTAAGAATAGGAAGTTCGAATGAAATGTCTTAGTGTGTCTCGTATGTGTGATGTTGATTTTTGTATGATTTACTTTTTAATTACAGTAACATTATCATATTTAAACAGCGATAACGGTTACGGCGTATGTAGTAATTGTGTACACAGTGATTTATTTGAGCATTACTTAAAGTAGATTTATTCAATCTTGCTTTAAAACAAAATGTGCATCAGCGCCATCTAGTGAAAACTACTCATAGTAGATTCTGTATCGCGCAATAAAAATTATCGCTCTTGTGATACACTGTTCATTCTTTTCTTTGACAGTTATTTTTATTTGATTTAAGGGAAATTAAAATAATTAAACGTTAATGAAACTATAGACAACGATTATGTAATTGATAGTAATATAACCTAAACATATCAAGCGGTAGCCTAGTGGTTAAGGCGTTGGACTTGCGAGCAAGAGGTCGTGGGTTCAAATCCTGACCAGTACACTACCGAAGTGAACCAACTCCTAACATAAGCAATTTACTTAGCGGGAGGGGTTAACGGGAATACTAGTAATTTCGGTTGCTAGTAGTTAGACCTTTTTTTTTAAATATAGTCATCATCATCGTCAGCCTATCGCAGTCCACTGCTGGACATAGGCCTCTCCCATTGCACGCCACTTAGATCGATTTTGGGCTTCTCGCATCCAGCTCCTGCCAGCCATCTTGCGCAAATCGTCACTCCACCTGGCCTGTGGGCGTCCTACACTACGTTTGCCGAGACTCGGTCTCCACTCAAGAACTCGTGTTCCCCAACGGTTATCGGTTCTGCGGCTAATATGGCCAGCCCACTGCCACTTCAGCTTGCTGATCCGGTAGGCTATTGGTGACCTTGGTTCTCTGCCGGATCACCTCATTTCTGATGCGATCCCTTAGAGAAACGCCGAGCATAGCCCTAATGACAATGAACAATGTTTAATTTATATTTCAGTTTTAACTAAAAAAACAATTATTTTTCTCATGGTAATCCATACGGTTTGTTCTGTTAATTGTGCATGCCTCTGTGACAGCAGAACATGATGACACTGAATTCATTATACTTACTCATATTCTGCAAAATAAAATGTTAAAAGCCTCATAAAACATATTATAATAAGATTAAATTAATTTTCCCTCCAAAGTGGTTGCAGCCACTCTCAGAGAGTGAGACATGGATACGCCTCGGAGTACCCTAAACGGCTGGTGTCCAAGACCGGCATGGAGAATGTGGCCATGATCACGAACGTGCCCTTTGAGAACATCCGACTCCTCAATGATACTTTTCATACTTTGGTAAGTTTACACACACGTTCTATCAGGGTAGGCAGGGACTTTAACCCTTTAAGTTAACTCTCACGTGTCAGGGACGTCTGACTAGTGCTAGAATTAGTCCTTTTTCAAGAAGTGAGGCACCTCATTGTCATTTTATCTAATTAGCTTGTCTGTGGCCTCCGTGTCCGTGTGGGGACGTGGAAACATTCCTATTCATCCCGTGGGTGTCGTAAGAGCCGACTAAGGGCAAGAAAACATCAAAAACATCAACTCTGCAAAGAGAAGGGAACCTTGACGCAAACCCAACCAACCCGTCTGGCCAGCATGGTATAGTAGGCCAAAACCTCCTTTCTAAGGAGAGGCCTATGTCCAGCAATGGACTATTAAGCGCTGTTGATGTGGTGATGATGTGGCGTCTGTGGGAGGACCATGCTTTCTTTAAGTGAGACCGAAATTGATGCAATTAATTTTATGACATATCATCCAATTGACTGACCTTTCGACCAGGTTGCACGAGGTTTGGGCACAGGTTGACCTGCCTACTATTGATTGTTTTAATTCGAATATTAATTATTATAAATCCAAATCAGGAATAGTGATGAGTGTTTATCAGCACTGTTCTCTAACCGTAAATTGAAGGACGTTTTTATCTGCTACCTTATTGGTTTAAAAACTATTGTCATTTAATGTTTTTTAAATATGCAGATCAACTTACGCTGGCGATGGATTGTTACGGGCACAATTGTGGTCCACTTCGCAATTTGGTTGGTCTTCGCCGTATTCTGGTACATTGCAGCTCTGGCCCACTATGACTTCGAACCGGATCCGCCCAAGAGGACCTGTGTCACAGGTGGAAAGGACTTCGTGACTATATTTCTAGCTTCTGTAGAGGCACAAGTGAGTTAATTTGGTTTTTTTTTAATACTCTATGATGTATGTTATACGTTTTCATGCAATGTATAGTAGCCATAATAATTACTGATGCACCAGATAGTCAATCATCAACAGCCTTTAGTAGTCTGAACATAGAACATAGGCCTCTCCTTAAAAAGGAGGTTTTGGCCTACTATACCACGCTGGCCAGACGGGTCAGGATAGGGTTTGTGTCAAGTTTTCCTTCTCTTTACAGTGTTGTTGTCCTGCGTAGTTTGCTCCCTCAGTCGACTCTTACACGGGATAAATAGAAGTGGTGACACTCCTTATTCTTAATCCGTCACCATACAGACATACAGATGGGCATAATCCCATTCGTATCCTTAACGTATAGATCCACGAATACGGAACCGATCTGAACTTAATATCGTTTTCCTACAAAACATCTTTTAAATTGCACTGCAGTCTTTTTACACGCTTTATATTAGCTTCACTTGTATGTTTGTTTGTAACCGACTTCTTTGGGCGTGATTTTGACTGACTTTAAACGGTCAGAATTCGTATAAATTTTGTAGATATATCGAGGACCGATGAAAATACACTAATTTAAAAAAAAATCGGTGCTTTTTACTATTGACAACAGGCACCCAACGCTTTTATTAAAATTTATTTTCTATTTTTTAGTGTGTTTTTTTATAAAAAGCATGTTTTTTAGTTTTTTAAAACTATTTTTTTTTGTGTACGTAGGTTCTTTAAATAATTACTCTACTACAGATTCGGGATGTGACCTTGCTATAAAATTAGTCAATTAATTTCTTTTTACAGGAGGGATTCATTATATTGCCAATTTACTTCTGATTAATTTTATTACGGGTTATAAGACAGTTTAACTTTTACTGGGACTTCCCGAGTGTCTTAATTCGGTGTGTTGATGGGTTACTGCTATTGATCCTGGTGTACGGAAATAACAGCAGTGGTCTTTTGGGAGGGATTAGTCCTCTAATTTCTCAATTAGAGGACTAATCCCTCCCAAACGACCTAATAATTAACTCACAGATTTGATAGTATAAATTGTTTAGTATACTGTACGTTTCCTTAATGAGTTAGAACCGGACACACAATAAGATCATCCATTATTGTACTAGTTGACAAGATTCGCCCACTAACAATTTGTTCGCAACACATTAAAAGGGACTTCAACTAAATTGCCCCCGTTATAAATTGTCTGGAATTGCAGGGGAAAGAGTTTGTGATATTATAACTACATATGTGCTGTGTATCTTTGTCCGGATCCACGGGTATCCGAGAACGAAAAAGCTTCATCAACAGCCTATAATAGTCCACCGCTAGACGTAGGCCTCCCTTTAGAAAAGAGGTTTTGGCCTACTATACCACGCTGGCCAGACGTGTTGGTATAGGGTGTTTTGCAGTGCTGTTGTCCTGTGCAGTTTGTTTCCTTAGTCGGCTCTTACGACACCCACGGGATATATAGGGGTGGTGACATTCCGTATTCTTAATCCATCACCACACGGATGATGTAGCTTATTAAGTTATAATAATAACAGTAACTTCACACAGCTCACACATTAAGCAGAGTCTGTACTTCGGTAACCAGACTGCTGATAAACATCCACACTTCCATACTTACCTTGTATTATAAATTTTGGTTTGTTTGTTACGGTTTCACTCCTAAACCACTAAGCCGATTAAAAAAATTCTTTCACCAATGGAAAGCTATATTATCAGCAAGTAAAATAGGCTACTTTTTGCCGCGAGAACCAGCATACACGCGGTCGTGGCCGCGGGCAAATCTAGTATTCAATATTTATGAATTCCAAACACTCTGTAGCTAAAATGGTAAAGACCACTCCCTATAAAAAAAATATCTTCATGAAAAAAAGACTATCTGTTTAGTTTTATAATAATTTTATTATTGATTAAGCCAAAAGCTAATACTTATATATTAGGTCTTTACCTATGAAATTGCCGTTTTGTATGTAAAAAATTCAATTCCCGAGAGGCAGTACAAATATCTTTGAAGAGTTTGTTGCCTCCCGTCCAGCTGATTTTTACAAGAAGGGTATCAATAAACTGCCAATGCGTTGGCAAAGATGCGTCGATTGCATGGGTGATTACTTCGAATAACAGAAATAAAAAAGTTTGAAAAAATAAGTACTTTCACTTATTGCATACAAAACGGCAATTTCATAGGTAAAGACCTATTATTTCTAAATAAATACGTATTATAGAGAAATATGGCCTATGTCCAGCAGTGGACGCTTTTGGCAGAGCGGTCGTCACACCCGGTCAAATTGAGACGTCGTAGACGTTCGTACAATCGCCCGCCATCTCTTCCTGATGGCAGACTGTCGGATAGAGTCAGACACGAGCCTCCCACTGTGGAGCTCACCTGGTCGGTCCAGCGCATAGGTGCTCTGCCGCGGCAACATGATACCAACATTAAATTTACATAAATGATTTGACAAAGCTGGGTATGACGTCACTAAACAGGATTTCGTACAAAAACGTTTAAAAAAACTAAAAAACACGCTTTTATGGGAAACCAAACTAAAAAATAGAAAATAAATTATTTAATATTTTTTTTATTTTTTAAATTAGTGTACTGTCATCGGTCCCTGATATATCTACAAAGTTTGAACGAATTCTGACCGTTTAAAGTCGGTCAAAATCACGCCCAAAGGAGTCGGTTACAAACATACAAACAAACATACAAGTGAAGCTAATATAAAGCGTGTAAAAAGATACTAATTTGACTTGACATCTACCCTATTTTAGGTAAATTACACCCAGATGGAACAAATTATCGTGCTCATCATACAATTATTTGTCCTGGGTGGGAATCGAACCCACGACCTCTGGCTCAGCAGTCAGGGTCACTAACCACTAGCCCAGCAGGCTGGTCGACGTGTTGTTAATCAGTCACTAAGTGTGCTACCGACTTCTAAGTGCTCCCCCAGAATAAAAGAAGGGGGTGCCCTCTGGGAACCTCACTCAGTGAAACGAAAGAAATGCTACTGGTGTAGCATCGGTACCGGTATGACGATATGCACGGTGACTGCACGGATAGAGTAGTGGTTTAAGCGGTCGCCACGCCGGTCACTACTACGCTGAGTATTATGGGACGACACTTTGGGTGATCCACAAATTGTTGTTCTGATTCTAGGTGTTCTTTGTATCCGTATCATGTATGATTGTAAAAGTCTTCCGCGACGCAGGATATATTCTTAATGCGGGAGTTATCTTTTTATTTTAAAAAAAAAAAAAATGGAATTGTGGCTCTTGTAAGGTGTGCAAACCATCAGATGTTCCTCCCCTCTTTTGTCCCTATCATGAAAAAAAACGAGTATTTTTTAAATAGAAAATAGACACAAGTTTTCTATGAGGCAGTGGAATCCCTCCGTTTGAGTTATAATTATTATGTGCCGTGGGTGATGCCGGTTTGACTGCACGGATGTCGTAGTGGTTTAAGCATTCGCCACGACGCTTACTACTACGCTGAGTGTTGTGGGTTCGATCCCCACATGGAACAACACTTTGTGTGATCTACAAATTGTTGTTCTGCTTTAGACCACACGACTGAAGTAAAACTTTTCTAGCTCCATCTATGTGTATGTATATGTTTATATATGTAGATATACGAAACGTAACTGGCTATGAGAGAAAGAGAGAAAGAAATGTGTGCTCGCACCTCTCTCTGTTGCCCCTACGGTAATATACGAAACGTAACTCTCTCTCTTTCTATCTTCACTAACTTCTATCTCCCTCTCAACTTGCGTTCACCTCGCCTAATCACACTTTCCGTAACGCTCTCGTCACGCATTCACCAGCTTACTTCCCAAGTCAAGCGTGCGTAAAGAAGTTTTACTTAAAAAAAACCCGGTTAGGTACGAGTCGAACTCGTTCCGTAGGTACCTACAAAGATTTTACGTAGATTTTCGAGACGAGGTTTTCGAAACCTATAGGGTACTTCCGATTGACCTAGAATTGACAATTTTGGTTAAAAGCAAGGTCTTACAGCACAAGTCAAGGGAAAATTCTGAAAAATAAAAAAAAGTTAAAAAAAATTAAGGTAAATTTTTGTGCTTACAAGTTTTCGGGAAAATCGAAATTTGCCTATATCTTTTTATTGTGTCGACTCAGGACTTTGATTTTTATACATCTAATAGGGACCACAGACCTCAGTATCTGGTATAAATTTCAACTTGCTAGGTCTACCCGTTCCTGAGAAAATCGGTGGTGACACACGGACAGACAGACACACGGACAAGAAAGTGATCTTATAAGGGTTCCGTTTTTACCTTTTGACGTACGGAACCCTAAAAACAAACATAGGTAACTAACATTTTAAACTCAGTAGCTTATTATGTTGCTGAACACATGCCACGCTCCTTACGACAACTGTTTTTTGAAGCTCGAGCTTTTGCTAAGAAAAACAAGTATATTTTTTGTTGGGCTCAAAATGGTAAAATTTTTCTTCGAGAACGAGAGGGCATGGACTCTGTCATCATCAAGTCAACTTCCTGTCTCAATAAACTACTTGTGTCCAAACAACAAGTGTAAGTCTATTCATTTCTGTTTGGTATGTGAACTAAAAACTTCACAGTTACATTCACAAAAATTTCATATTTTTTTGGTTTCCAACATGTTTGCTTTTCATATCATCTATTGCCTAAGTATTTCTTTCGATTTGTTAATCACTTTATTAATACCACTTTGTGAAAATAAATTTATATGTATAAACCTCTACACCATACACAAACATTCTCCCAAGAACATAAAATTCTCAACAAGTGAAAACCATACTACTGATAATCCTCAGTTCTTGATCTCTGTTTTATCCAATCACATTGGAATGTTTTTCTTACTTAAAACCATTAAGTCCACTCTTGTTTTACACTGTACACTTACAAATACAAACATTTACATTTATGTTTCGTACCTTACATTACATTTAATGTTATACAGTTGTAGTGACGGGTTATGTGTCGTAATTGGGGCTCAGTTTTGCGGTTTTTGCATCATGGTAGCAAACAATGTGCACTTACTATCGTTACTTAATGTTCGACATCGATAGTTTAGAGGAATTTGACTCCATTGGTAAAAGAGACTCATATATGTGAACCGGATGCATGCCAGAATTTCATTGCAAACAACTTAAAGTCACTAAACATAATACATTTGAATATACGTAGTGTAAACCGTAATTTTGACTTCTTTCAAGCATTTCTCGTTAGTATTAATATTTCTTTTGATGTTTTAATTTTATCGGAGTGTTGGTTGAGTGTTTCAGCGGTTCCGTTATTGGATGGATACGTGTCTTATCATACGACTAATATTAAAAACCAAAACGATGGAATCATCATGTACATAAAATTGAATTTGCCTCATTGTGTTACGGAACCTGCGATGTCTGATGCCAGCTGTTTGTTGTGTAATTTAAAGTTTCACAATACTTCACTTATAGCGTTATACAGATCCCCCTCTATTCGAAATGTTGATAATTTTATTGATGGATTGGACTGCATTCTTACTCGGATGTCAAGCCTAAAAAATATTGTTGTGGTGGGGGACATTAATATCGATATAACCCCAAATGCCATATGCCAATCTGCCAATCAGTACTTAAACCTTACTGCTGCACATGGCCTTCTTCCTGCTCACCTTCTGCCAACTCGTGGTAATTCTTGCATTGACCATGTAATGATTAGGTCTGATCTTAAAATTACGACTCTGATCGTCGATACTTATATCCGACCACAGGCCTACGTTTATTAACATCCAACACGTTAAGACTTTGCCTGTATCTAAGCGTACACGAAAAATTGTTGATTACTCGGCTGTAGTAGCCGACATATTATCATTTGATTTTAGTGGTATTATGGGTACTCAGGACGCTAACATTGCCACAGAGTTTTTAGTCTCTACTGTTAGTTCCATTACACTCAAGCACACTAAAACAGTACACACATCTTCTAAACGAAGAATTCTTAAGCCTTGGATCACTAATGGATTGCTGAAATGTATCCGAAATAGGGATAATATGGCAAGTACTCTAAAGAAAGACCCTGACAACTATACCATTAGAGTCACGTATATGAGATATCGAAACTTTTGTAATAAACTTCTCAAAAACATTAAAACAGCTTACGAAAAAGAACAATTCCAAAAGGCTAAAAATAACCCTAAAGCTACATGGAAGATCTTTAGGAGCGTTACTGGGACTGGTGTCAATACTACCTCTCCTAACGAATTATTGAAGTCGTCATACGATGAGAGGTCTTCGGTTAATATTATCAACGAGTTTTTTGTGAGTGTAGGCAAAACTTTGTCTGAAAAATTCCCAAATAGCACGAGTAATTTAAAAAATTGCTGTGAAGCTTCTACATGTAACTCCCTAGTTCTCCTTCCTACTGATGAAGTTGAAGTCACTAATCTGATCCTTGGATTGAAAGTGGATGCTGCCGTGGGCTGGGATGGTATATCACCGAGGCTGTTAAAGTCTTGTCTATCTGCCCTTGTGCCGGTAATTGTTCATATTTGCAATTGCTCACTTTCAACGGGCTGTTTCCCTAAAGCCTTTAAGAAGGCAATTGTCTTTCCTATATTCAAGGGTGGGGACAAGCACAGCGTCAACAGCTATAGGCCTATCTCAGTTCTGCCTGCTATGTCGAAGGTACTGGCAAAAATTCTTAACAATAGATTAATTAAATTTCTTGAACGTTATAAAATCCTAAGTAACAATCAGTATGGTTTTAGAGGTGGCAGATCGACTGAGGATGCAGTTGCCGCTCTAGTAAATGATGTTGTGGCAAAATTAGATAGCAAACTAAAATGTCTTGCAGTCTTCTTAGACCTTTCTAAGGCATTTGACACTGTGTCTATTCCACTCCTCTTGGGCAAGTTGGAGGCCACTGGCATCCGTGGAGATACTTTGAAAATCTTCCAAGACTATCTACGTGACAGAACACAGTGCGTAAATAATAATGGCATTATCAGTGACACTGTAACATTAAATTATGGCGTTCCTCAAGGTTCAATCTTAGGCCCAACGCTTTTCCTAATATATATTAATAATCTATGTAATATATCCATACCTCATTGCTCAATATTTACTTATGCTGATGATACAGCACTGGTTCTTCACGGTAGAAACTGGCCCGAAACTATGAAACACGCAGAGCATGCTCTCAGATTGGTGATGAAATGGCTATCAGATAATGTTCTAACCTTAAATATTGATAAAACTGTCTACTTACCTTTCTCGTTGCACTCCAATAATCTTGCTCCCGCTGATGCTATGACGCTTAAAGCCCATGATTGCCCTCTCGATCTATCCTTCTCACAATGCGACTGCAAATAACTAGGTCGGAGGATGTTAAATATCTTGGTGTTTACATTGATAGTTCTTTAAGCTGGAAACCCCATATCAATAAACTCACAAGTCGGATTCGCAAGTGTATGTTTATTTTTAAAAAACTGAGGTACTCTGCGGATCCTGACACTATTAAAACTGTTTATTTTGCATTGTGCCAGTCCATTATCAGTTACTGCATTGTTGTATGGGGTGGTGCACCTAAAACTTCCCTTCTTTCTCTGGAGCGGGCACAAAGAGCTGTCCTCAAAGTCATGACCACGAAGCCTTTTCGGTACCCTACCACTGCTCTCTACAGTGAGTGTCAAGTTCTGACTGTGAGACAGCTCTTTGTTCTCAGTACTATCCTCCGTAAGCATCCTACAGTACCGCATGGTTCCGGTACCATCAGCAAACGCAGATACTTCAATGTATGTCCAGCGCAACAAAAATGCAGAACGAAGCTCGCACAGCGTAATTATACTTACGTGTCTAATCATTTGTACAATAAAATAAATAAGTTATGTGCCATTGCTCCCATGTGTCGTAATAAGTGTAAAGCCACCGTGTCAGAGTGGTTGTTGACACTTGATTATGGAGCGACCGAGGATTTGATACGATGTGGATCCTAAGACTTTGGACTTGTGCCTATATTTATATGTTTCCTGCAAATATGGACATACCAGATACATAACACTCACCGATATGTACAATCACTACAACGTATAAACACAGCTAACCTACACACACACACACACACACACACACGCACACACACACAAATACACACACGGGCATCCACATTCCACCTAAGTTTATTTATTCTACCATTTATATATTTTTCTTATTTGTCTATTAGTTTTGTATTTTGTTTTTATATAAACGCTGTGTATGTCTAACAAGTATTAGCGACGTATTTTTATGGTGTGCGCTAGATTGCTGGTACCCTAAACACAAGTTGAATCTTATTCTGGGTACCAGAGTTTATCGTAAATACTGTGAATATCGTGTTTGTTACGCTGTTTATGTATTTTTGTGCCATATTGTGAAATAAATCATATTATTATTATTATTATTATTATAGTAGCTTACATAATTATATGTACATGTATAAAGGTAGGGCATTCCCTTAAGTCTTGAGTCGTCCTAATTCTCCCAGACCGGATTCATTAAGAGTAATCTTTGTACAAATTGCTCCAATCAAGGACTATTGAACTTCCTCTTTTACGGAATTGTCGTCTTGAAGCGTTGATAACAAAATTGGTTGGATGCCTTTGTGTGGAGTGCACTAGCCCGGCTCCATCGCTCACGAGATCTGACGCTGACTAACTGAAGGAGTTATTTTTAACTCCCAAAATAACAGATAGCATATGAATCGATATAGTGTGTATGTATTTATATATATAACTAGCTGACCCGCGCAACTTTGTCTGCGTCTCTCAATAGTAATAAATTTTCTCCGTTTTTGAAACATTCTTCATTGGTGCTCCGCTCCTATTGGTCTTAGCGTGATGATATATAGCCTATAGGCTTCCTCGATAAATGGGCTATCTAACACTGAAAGAATTTCTTAAATCGGACCAGTAGTTTCTGAGATTAGCGCGTTCAAACAAACAAACAAACAAACTCTTCAGCTTTATAATATTAGTATAGATATACTGATTGTACCCTACCACGGTTCGCTGTCGCAAATTGTGGTTGAAAAAAATTTAGATAAAAATCAAAATTCAGGCGTGTTGTATATCGTTTTGAAGTTTGAGTTCAATTGGTGCAGATTTTTTTTTTAATTTTTGTATCTTACACAAACCAACTCAACATATTACTTATTTCCATTCAAATGTAAAAGTTGTTTGATTTATATATTTTTCTCTACTGATTCTCAAGTACGTATGGATGTAAGCTCTTACATTTCTCTTCTATCCTCTATTCTCTCAAGGTTTGCTGGAAGAAAACTCAATTTTGGGTTGAATTCACCTTTGTATGTAACATCATCTTTCCGTCATCGTTCCACACGGCAAAATTTTCATCCTCATCACCTGGATAGTTGGCGCTCCACTACTGTGCGCTTTTCGAGACACTTTTTGCCCCGCACAACCAATTTGTGGAACGGGTTATCATCTGCGGTAAAAGAGCGTACTCCTTCCTAAAAGGCCGGCAACGCGTTTGTGACTCCTGAGTTGCAGACGTTCATGAGCGGCGATGGTCACTTTCCATCAGGTGATCCGTCTGCTCGTCTGCCCCATGTGACATAAAAAAAAGAAAAAACATTGTCACTTATAAATTTATGTATTTAGTGTGTACAATAAAGAACATATAAAATGATTTCAAGAATGAGTACCAAATACTTAAGTATCTAGTAATAAAAAATGACGATTCCCTTCTCAAATCTATCCCATTTGAAGTAATTTCTTCCTTTTTTTCTTACCAAAACTGACCATAAAATTACTTATTTACAGTCTATTTGTCCATCCAAAGGTTGCCTGTAAGAGATTGTTTTTGAGCGATAAGGCCGCCATTTGTAGATGTTCATTAACTTGGAATACTATGGATAATGTACTGAACTGGTGTACAATAAAAATTATTCTATTCTATTTCTTTTTCAAAATCTCTAATAGATAAATTATTTTATTATTTTCTAGACCACCATCGGGTTCGGTGACCGCGCTATAGATGAAGAATGTCCTGAGTCCATATTCCTGTTCATTATGCAGGTAAGACCAATTAGGGTGCTACGGAGCTCCATCCTTCATAAGCGCAGGCCTGGGAGTGACAGGGGAGGCCATCTGTCACCCGAGTAGAAACTGACCGGGATGGCGGCGCGAAGACCTGTGGAGCGTGCGCCATTTAGGGAGTAGGAAGCAAACACCGTGGTTCCCACATACGAAGGAGTCATCTAAAATCTACATCTACAAGTCGTAGATGGCCCGGGGTCCGTCGGAGCACCAGGGATTTCTTTTCTAGGTTACACCCGGTTCGGTTTTTTAGTCGGTTTAAGTCCGACATAACCACCTCACCAACCACCCGGTGGGTGGTCGGTGGAGTAAACAATTACTGTTCTATTTGTAATCGTGAAGTCTATAGATATTTACATAAATAAGAGGCTGTTTTATTAGAAAAAGGTTTTTCACTTAAAAGAGATTTGTCCAAATGTAGCGACATCTAGTTAAACGAGAGAACAACTTTCCATAAACAACTTAGCTACAATATCAACAGAGGGCAGTACTATGATAATGTCTTACAATTTTATGAGTTTTAGTAAAGTTTTTTATATTTAAATCATCAACAGCTTTCAATAGTCCACTGCTGGACACAGGCCTCTCCTTGGAAAGGGGTTTAATTAAATAGCATAGAAAAAATCGATTTTCACGCCGATCTGCCATTTATACTTATATAATATAGGTACTAGTTGACAGCGCTTCTTCGTCTGCTTCTCTTAAAAGGAACTGATGCTTAGCTCCTATTGATTTTACATAGCTTCCTTCCTTCATCTTTGGAATTTCAAACTCCAAAGATTTTTTCAATTCAAAGCAGTCGTTCCTTAGAGTGGCGCGTTTAACCAAACATACAAACTCTGCAGCTTTATAATTTTAGGATAGATTATGCTAATTTTTATGATGTCATTTATTAAGATATGCCCCACTTCTGCACCCCCATAACTGTACGTATCATGATAATCATGGGCCTTAAAGAAAAAGTAAAATCCCTACACAAATACCCACGTTCCCATCAAAATTAGGATTTGAAATTTCTACTTATTTCTACTTCCAGCTGATACTAGGCACTGGGTTGTCAGGAGTGCTGACATGTGTGGTGTACGCCAAGCTGACGAGACCGGAGAAGTTGTCTCGAGACGGAGTTGGGTTCAGTAAGAAAGCTGTGGTATGTTGCTTTTACCATTACTTTGAAGGATAATAGATTCTAATAAGAGTGCACCACTCTTTATTATCATCAATATCATCAATTTGACTGCACGGATGGCGTAGTGTTAAAGTGGTCGCCACGCCGCTTACTACTACGCTGAGTGTTGTGGGTCCGATCTACACATGGGACGACACTTTGTGTGATCCACAAATTGTTGTTCTCGGTTTGGGTGTTCTTTGTGCCCGTTTCATGTTAGTTTGTAAAGTCCCCCGCAACACAGGATATATTCCTAATGCGGGAGTCGTCTTTTTTAAGAAAAATAAAAGATAAAATAAAATATATCTTCTTGCCGCTTTCCCAATTGTATTTAGAGACAGCTCGGGTCGTTATACAATATACCTGAAGCGATTCATGGTGACTGGAAAATTAGAAGGGACAAGACCCAGAGGCCGGCATCCCAGCAGATGGTCAGACTAAATCTCTGAACAGCTGAAGAAACAAGTAAGATACTCCACCAAGTATGCTAATTGGTTCATTTGCTTGTTATTTCAGATAAGTATGCGTGATGGCCAGTTGTGCCTGATGATGAGGGCCTGGGACCTGAACTACGATCATATCATCAGTTCCGAGTTCACTGCGCACTTCATTAACACTTACAGGTACTCATCAACATAAATAAGATATCACTAACATAAGTAATTATTGTTTTTACTTCCTGACATTAATTTATTATTTTGACTATAGTTTGACTTTGAATGCTGACATTGTATGTATCACAATATTATTATAGTAATCAATGATGCTAATAATATACCTATAGGTTATTTTAAGTTATGTTTAAATTATATGCAATTATAAATGTACAAATTGAAAATGTGCACACCCATAGTGGTAAAGCACAGTGAACCTTTTGTGAATGAATACCATGTAATTAATACCTGTGTTATGCAAATAAACAATCTGAATCTGAATCTGAATCATTATCAACAGCCTCTAATAGTCTACTGCTGGATATAGGCTTCTTCTCAGAAAGGAGGTATTGGCCTACTAAACCACGATAGCTAGACGGGTTGAAATAGGGTTTGTTTAAATTTTTGCTTCTCTTTGCACTGCTGTTGTCCTGCGCGGTTAGCTCCCTTAGTCAGATCTTGTCGGATAATTACTGGTGGTGATACTCCATATTATTTATCCGTCAGCACGCGGACCATTATAATAGACAATGTGTAAGTGTATCTATGTATATTTCTAGAACGAAGGAAGGTGAAGTCATCCGCTACTACGCTCGCAGTCTGGCGCTGCAGCAGCGCCAGTTCCTATTGTGGCCCGTGACGTTGGTGCATGTGATTGATGCCTCCAGCCCCCTATATGGATACACTCCTGAGCTTATCGCTGGGAACAGGTATACGATCAGAAATGGAAAATATAAGTAACTAACCAATGTAAAAATTAGTTTTTTTCCATGTGTATTCTCAGTACTAACTGATTCTATGAGTAATAGTCCTAGGGCCCAGGACCTTTTTATTAATTATTACCTACAAGCTAAAACTTAGCCGATTCGTATTACTGAGTCGGACAAGATTTTCAAGTGCAAAATGTCTGAAATAGGCAGCATTTTTACTCCCCCACCCTGGCTAAAACTTGGTCAGTTTTAGCTTGTAGGTATTTATTAAAAAAAAGGACCTTAGCCTGAGGACTATAGTATATTTTTTATTAAAGAAACATGTGTAAATTCTCAAAATTTTGTGATGATACAGGCTGTTCTGGAAAATGTTACCCTTGCCTTAAAGACTTATAGGACTTGTCTTTGGCATTCTATTTAAAAAAGTTTTTTTTGTTTACTATCCGTATTCAAAGTTATGACCGTTTCAATTTTATATATTGCTGATAAAGATAAGTTTATCATCAGCCTATCGCCGTCCACCGCTGAACGAAGCCCTTCCCCAAGGACCGTAAACTATCCCGGTCTTGGGCAGTCCACATCCATCTGAGGAGGAGCTTAGACAACTTTATTTATTGAAAGATATAACAAGGCTTCCATCGTACCATTTCCTTCATTAATCATCATCCACTGCTGGACATAGGCCTCTCCTTAGAAAGGAAGTTTTGGCCAGACGCGTTGGTATAGGGTTTGTGTCAAATTTTCCTTCTCTCTGCAGTACTGTTGTACTGCGCAGTTTGCTCCCTTAGTCGCCTCTTGCGACACCAACGGGATGAATAGGGGTGGTGACACTCAGTATTCTTAATCCGTCACCACACATTTCCTATTTTACTAAATTTTAAAAATCGATGGATAATGTATTAATATGTAATTAATAAACCTTTTTGAAAAGTGATTAAATTTGATATAATGCAATGCTCTAAGCAATCAACAAAATTTAACCAATATTTTATTGAACCGAAATGTAGGCAATAAAATGCTGTTTAATTTTATATCTCTGCATATTTTTATACTGACTTCCTACTGCGCTAAGTGTTCTGGGTACGATTCCCACATGGGAGATCACTTAGTGTGATCCACAAATTGTTGTTCTGAGTCTAGGTCCATTTTATGCATTGTGTAAACCCACGATACAGGATATATTCCTAGTGCGGGAGTTGTCTTCTTATAAAATATATTTTTTAATTTCCAAAATTGGATAGACCGCCAGCCATGTTGTTCATTCGTCATAACCTCATATGGTTAGTAAAACCCTGGACAATTAAAGTTTCCGTAATATGTTCGTAACTTAGCAAAATGAATCGGAATTTACAGAGTTTCATCGAAGCAAAACATCTTTGAAAAAGAAGACAGCAGTTATGTTGCTTACTTTATAATGTTATGTCCTCAGTTACGAGATCACAGTCAGTTTGAAAGGCGCATCAGCATCAATGGGTACGTTTACTCAGAGTCAGACCTCGTACGTGCCCAGGGAAGTCGTTTGGGGATATCGGTTTCCTCCCGTCGTTAAGTGAGTATGGATAACTGATCTACGTCACACTGTGGTATGCACATCCGACTTCAAAGAAAAAGATCGCGGCTTTGATTCCCATCAATCAACTTCCATGTGCCTATATTACGTTTTTTTTTTTTTTGTTTCTTTTTTCTTTGAAAAAGACAACTCCCGCATTAGGAATAAATCCTGTGTCGCGGGGGACTTTACAAACATACATGAAACGGACACAAAGAACACCCAGACTCAGAACAACAATTTGTGGATTACACAAAGTGTCGTCCCATGTGGGGTTTGAACCCACAACACTCGACGTAGTAGGAAGCGGCGTGGCGACCGCTTAAACCACTACGCCATCCGTGCAGTCTTATACGTTATTTTATAAGTATGTTTATCTTAGTAAACGCTGTGTTTACTCTCGAAAGGTTTACATATTTAAATCAAGGTTATACTTAAAAAATTAAGTGAACTATGGACATTTTAGTTTTTTTTTAATATTATGGGGACAAATGAGCTGGACCTCAATTCTGCTATTTTAATATTGTATACTGTCAATGGACTGATGTCGGAATAGTTTTGCACTTTTCGTATTCTACTATGTAAGAACAATGGTCTCCCTATGAGTTATCACTGAACTGTCACTGATAGAAATTTCGTCGTGACGCTGGTCAGTAAATAAAAGTAAAAGTAACTTGACTGCACGGATGGCGTAGTGGTTTAAGCGGTCGCCACGCCCCTCTTACTACGCCGAGTGTTGTGGGTTCAAACCCCACATGGGACGACATTTTGTGTGATCAACAAATTGTTGTTCTGAGTCTAGGTGTACTTTGTGTCCGTCTCATGTATGTTTGTAAAAAGTCCCCCGCGACACAGGACTTATTCCTCGTGCGGGAGTTGTCCTATTTAAAAAAAAAAAATACTAAGGAGGCTCTTACGTTTCTCTGTTGTCCTCTATTCCCTCAAGGTTTGCTGGAAGAAAACTCAGTTTTGGGTTAAGTTCGCCTTTGTACATGACATTTCCTTGTTACTTATATATATGTACTAGTTGACCCGGCAAACGTTGTTTTGCCATATACATTATTTCTAGGATATATTCAAAAAAAATTTAGGGGGGGGGGGGGAGGGTCACCATTGTCATTGATTCTCAGACCTACCCGATGTGCACACAAAATTTTATAAAAATCGGTCCAGCCGTTTTCGAGGAGTACGGTAACTAACATTGTGACACGAGAATTTTATATATAAGATGTGTTCAGTGTGTACAATAAAGAATAAATAGAAAATAGAATAGGAGATTATTTTATTTATTTATTTCAAGTTATGTACTCCTGCGCAGACTCAGGTTAGATACTAACTCTTAGTTTGAATTTAGTATAGTTTAAAAATGTGTTTGTTATTTCTTCAGGTATGATTTTCGTAAACAGAAGTACGTCATTGACGACAAAAAATTGGATTTGGTTGAGCCGGTCGACACTCCCTTCTGCTGCGCCAAGGATCTTCACCGAGGGTACGTATTTTTATATATCTTTATATATATAATTCTTCTGTGAGTGTGTATGTCACTGAACTTCTCTCAAACGACTGGACCGATTTTGATGAAATTTTTTGTGTGTGTTCAAGGGGATCTGGGAATGGTTTAGATTCACAATTTTGTCCGCTGGACAATGTTTTTTTAATTAATTTTTAATTTATTAGTAGTTGTTGATTTTGGAATGTTTTACATTGGATCCGACAGACGGCGGTACCATCGCAGTGTCAAATTTGACAGGACAACGTCTGTCGGGTCCGCTAGTACATATATATATATTATATATATATAAAATCAATTCACATAGTGTTTTGCAGCAAAGCCTTAGAGACAAAATATATCATCATCAACAGCCTTTAACAGTCCACTGCTGGACATAAGCCTTTCCTTAGAAAGGAGATTTTGGCCTACTATACTACGCTGGCCAGACGGGTTGGTAAATGGTTTGTGTCAAGTTTTCCTTCTCTCTACAGTGCTGTTGTGCTGCGTAGTTTTTTCCCTTAGTCGTCTCTTACGACACTCATAGGATGAATAGGCGTGGTGACACTCTGTATTCTTAATCCGTAACCACACGGACAAAGAGGCAAAATATATATACACGTATTTTTTTCATTTTCAGTTCAACTCCTATAAAAGCTGACCAGCGGCCTCAGACTCCTAGTAACGCAAGCATATTTAGTGAGACAGTTGCCTCCTTCCATCTGGAGAGAACTTCATCATTTAGGAAGAAAACTCAAAAGACGTTTAATCAACGTAGTTAGGTTTTAATAAAAAAAATTAGTTCCTAAAAATTATCAAATCCGTACAGTATATCAAGGATATCTTATTTAATTATTTAGAAAAGATAATAATTTTTTTTTTTTTTTTTTTTTCCACATTCACACAACGCCATCTAGTCCCAAACTAAGCAGAGCTTGTACTATGGGTACTAGATAACTGATATAAATACATATATACTTTTTTTTTTATAAATACATACTTATTATACATAGAAACACCCAGACCAAATCAAACATTAAAAGCTCATGCACACAAATGTTTGACTTGAGCGGGAATCGAACCCGCGACCTTTGGAATAGCAGTCCGTTACACAGACCACTACGCCATTCGGTCGTCAAATCATCATTCGTTTTTAAATTCGAATATACTCTTGTACTTGACTGCCTCGGTGGCGCAGTGGTAGCGTATGCGACTGCTGTGGTCGATTCTAGAGGTCTAGGGTTCGATTCCCGGCTCGGATGTGTATGTATTTAAAAAATTATACAAAAGTATTATATTAGTCAATCTAGCTTTTACAGCTCCGCTTAGTTTGAAACTAGATGGCGTTGTGTATTATTATTACTTTTAAAGTATTTTTGGTAATTTCTTATCTTGTTTACTTTTTAAAATCAACGCAACCTCGTTTTAAATACTGCAGTACATTACATTACAGAACATTACAGTACATTACAGAATATTAATTAATTATAACATGTAAGTTGGTACAGCACGTCATGAAGCTAATATCTAAGTCATTATTTATAACTAGCTGGTACCCGCGACTTCGTTCGCGTGCAATTTGAAAAGCGCTGTCTTAGTGGGTTCGATGCCCGGACCGGGTAAAATTTTAAAGGATTTTTCTGCGAGGAAATAATAGCCTAAGTTATTACTTATGTAGGCAACTACCTGGTAGTAAAATATTATCGAAATCGGTCCAGCCGTTTAGAAGATTACCTAGAACAAACAAACAGACAGACAGACAAAAATGGTTAAAAATGTTATTTTGGCATATGTACCGTGTAAACATACATATGCATTTAGTAAAAAGCGGTTATTTTAATATTACAAACGGACACTCCAATTTTATTTATTTGTTTAGATAGAACAAGGAGGAAAAAAGAAATACCATTGTTACCGTAGATTCCTACTGTTCTACCAAAATGGCACTGGAATTTATTATATCGATCGTTTGAGTGTTTCAGGCACAGAGAGAACACGGAGTACAGTTGCCTGTAAGTGGAAGCGATACAGGCAACAAGAGAGATGAATGCCCGATATTTCCCTCAGTCTCTGTTTAGCTAAGCTGCAATTGCCTACTTATACATATTCTAACCTAACACGTCATATTCCCCAGCAAACCACAGAGCTCGACTAGAAAGAGATAGAGGGAACTATTTATTATCCATCTCTCTCGTTGCCTGTATTGCAAGATTAGGGCTCTTGTTCACTCTAGGTTATGTCTCTATGGTTTCAGGCTTGAGAGCGTGCCAAAAAATTCGTTAGGATCACGGTTTATTTATTTGTGCGTGAACCCGTGCCACTGACAAAACTAGAGGCGACAAATCTTCTAGAGGAAAAGTTTTCAAGTATCTCTGTGTCTATGAATTACATATTTATAGAATTATCTAGAACTATATATCAAGTAATCAGTATTATTATGATAACATCAATAAATATGTGTTAACTTTCGTTAGTAAATTGTTGTTTTATTTGTATCTGTTTGAGATTTGGTCAAAATTTTTAATGGGATATCATAGGGCCAAGTGCGAGTTTATTTCACTTTTACTCGATCGTCACGGTGATCGCGTTTAGCGCTACGATTGGCCCGCACTAAAATCTCCACCAATCGCAACGCTAAACGCGCTCACCGTCGAGAGCAAGTCGATGTGAAATATACTTGCACTCAGCCCTCAGAAGGTTTACTCAATGAATAATAGGCCGGTCAAATTGCCCGCAAAACCAATAACTGTTTCCTATAGTCTATTAAAGGATGATGATGACCAGGCACTACAGGAATTAAAAAGAGGAAAATTGGAAATACAGAAAGGTAGGTAAAAAGTTAGGCAATGGAAAAAATGGGATATTGTTTTGATACGTGGGTCTGGGAGTTTAAACAATAGTTGGATCAAAGTCACGTATGTATAACCAAAACTGGCTTTTACCGGGAACTTCAAACTTTCTTAAAACATTTTAGAAAGAAATTTTAACTAACCAATTTATTTATTTTTGTTTTTTTAAAGACAACTCCCACACTGGAAATATATCTGAACTTTACAAACATATATGAAACGGACACAAAGAACAGAGTCTGGGCTCTGAACAACAATTTGTGTATCACACAAAGTGTCGTCCCACGTGGGGATCGAACCTACAACACTCGGCGCAGTAGGTAGCGTCGAAACTACCGCTTAAACCACTACCACTTCGCCATCCTTTTGGAGTCAAAGTTATTTTAAATTTATTATTAAACCATGAGTAGATAATTGTAAATAATTATACTTAATATGACCATAACTTGAACTTAAAATGTACAAGGACTGGTTTCATTATTAGGTCGGCATTCCATCAAAACACGAAGAACAAATATATTTGTATCTTATCACGGATAAGAGACTCTTATCTCGAAGATAAAACTGTGGGACTAATACGAAACATTGTGCTTCGAAGAAAGACAGTGTCGACGAATTATTGGTGTAAATAGGCAATATTTGACAAGGAAAAAACTTAGAATAATAAAAAAATGTGGTGTTTTAAGACACTGTCTGCTGTGTAATATGTATTTAAAGGTGTAATACATATGTCTACATCGATTTGGTAGTGAAATGATAGTGATTAAATACAATTGTTAACTTTAATCACGTGAAAAGTGGTTAATTCAAACATCAATACCGTTTGTGTGATAACAGCGATGTCTGAAAACATTTGACATCTCAAGGTGTTGAAAACTATAGCTCGTAAACTGAATTACGTAAATATTTAACTCCTTTTTTTATCAACTGTAAATAGAAAAAAGACACACAGTTTTAACCTATTATCTTGATTTTAAACTGCGAGATACAATCACCCCAAAATGAATTACGACGGCCCAGAAGTTTCAAGACGAGGCTCCAGAAGCCGCGCTCTCGAAAGATCCCTCAGTTACTCAGAAGCTATTGGTAATGGTTCACAGAGATCATCCATAGAAATACCAAATATCGGTTTCACGGACGTCTATACAAACGAGGAACTCAAAAAACAATACAGAATATCACAAACTTACGTTGAAGGCAAAGAAATCGCTTTCCCATCAGTAGTTACAAACTTTGATACTAAAAATTATTTACAAGTACCCATTGCGTATGATAGTTCACAATCATCTTCTCGTTACTCCAGTGAAGATGAAGGTCTGACCATGACTGTGAGCATTGAAGAGGAACCAAGAACTTCTGACATGTCAAAGCATTATTCTGAAATGTCAACACTACCTATAGCCAGTTCAAGTAACACTGATGAACATGTTTATGACAAAATTGAGACAGTCAACACTGATGAAAGCACCTATGATGAGAGCCAGTATACGACTCCTACTGTCAAGTATGGTACTCCGTACAGTCGTCGAAGTAAGAAACTTTTTCACAGGTTGGTATATTAAAGTCACCATCATCATCAACAGCTTTTAGTAGTCCACTGCTGCTGCACGGCTTGGAAAGGAGATTTTAGCCTACTATACCACGCTCGCCAGACGGGTTGATAAATGGTTTGTTCCAAGTTTTCCTTCTCTTTGCAGGACTGTTGTCCTGCGTAGTTTATTCCCTCAGTTGTCTTTTACTACACTCACGGGATGTATAGCGATGGTGACACTTCGTATTCTTAAACCGTAACCACGACAATTTTTTTTGATCCTTTTCACCGAGTGAGTGAGGTCACCAGAGACACAACTCTCCTCCCTAACCCTAATTCTGGGAGAGGTATACACTTGTTTCTCTTGAACTACAGGTGTCCATGGCTACAGAAGTAACTTACCATCGGGTGACCTGCCTTCTCTTGTTTGACCCTTATCATCAACAGCCTCTATTATTTACCTGCTGTACATAGGCCTCTCCTTAGTAAGGAGGTTTTGGCCTACTATACCACGCTCGCCAAAAGGGTTCGTATAGCGTTTGTTTCAAGTTTTTCTTCTCTTTGCAGTGCTGTTGTCCTACGTAGTTTGCTCCCTGAGTCGGCTCTTACGACACCAACGAGATGGATAGAGGTGGTGACATTCCGTATTCTTAATCCGTCACCAAACGGATTTGGCTCGATATCAATGACAGATAAAATCTGATGGTAATTAACTAACTCTTCTTGCAGGCGTACATACGGCAGGCCCCTACGTTCAAAACGAGCGGTCTTCAAGAACGGTGAAGAGAACGTGCCTGTTCGCAGTAACATACCTGCCAAGTCTATCAAGTATATGAGGGACATTGTTAACACTGTAGTAAGTCATGTTACCATCTTCTAGAACTTTATGAAAAGACCTTCGCTATAGTAGATGTTGTAGCTTTCAACTGAGAATTTTTCTTAGGAAAACTGTTTTCAAAGTTTTAATTCTATAAAACTTAAACTGTTAAGGTTATTTTGAAATCAAATTTAAAAAAATTCGTCTAGCTCTACTCAAGTTTTTGAAATGAAACCTTCTTAGGAACATTGGGCATTTTTGAACAACAAACAAAATAATATATTTTATGGTTTAACAAAAACACTCTTTAAGATGGGAAAAAACAATTGAACTCGCGATACTGTTACCGTTATCGACACCTCTGTATATAAGTTTTCACTTCTGTCGGCACTCACGGTATGCCACAGTTTTTTTATCGCATGAAGGGCAAACAAGCAGACGGGTCACCTGATGGTAAGTCACTACTGACGCCCATGGACACCTGCAGCTCAAGAGTCACAAGTGCATTGCCGCCTCTCGAGTTCTTACCCCAAAATCAGAAGCCAGGCCTTAGGCTCTTGTGACCTCACTCACAATGATGTTCTCCCCCAGATGTCTTCCATTTTTCTCTTCTCATGGGTTTAAAAACGTACTGATCAGGGCCTCAATTCTGCTATTTAATGTTAACGCCAAGCCACTATCATTCCATTGACACGTAATTGAGATGGCATTGAGACGCTATTTACATCGGTCAAAATATCAGTATTCTACTAACATAAATTCACAGTGTCAATAGACTGTCGATATAGTAATATAGGTCGTCAATGGTGATATCGACAACATTGCCATACCTGCGAAATTAAATATATCATTTTCTTACAAATTTAAAATTTACTATTTACCAAACAGTTATAAAGACATCGGCGACATTTGTAACAATGACAAGTCATCGGGAGGCCATTGGTCTTACATAGTTAGTAGAATAGGAAAAGTGCAAAACTATTCCGACGATGTTCTATCGACAGTCTATTGATACAATATTAAAATAGCAGAATTGAGGCCGAGGTAGTTGGTAGGGCATAAATTAATTGAATAATGTCTTTTCACCTTGCTGTCCCTATTTTTGAATCTTACTTGTACACAAATATTTCAGATAAACAGCAAATGGCGGTTCATCCTTATCCTAGTAGTGATTTCTCACTTCACCTTCTGGTTCCTGTTCGCTGCCATTTGGTTAGCAGTGGCTTCGTCATACCAAGATGATATCGGTGATGGGAAGGAGCACTGTGTCACTGGTACTCAAAGCTTTGCTGGATTGCTGATGATGTCTGTGGAGACTCAGGTATGGTACAGTCGGACACATTTAGTCAAAAGAAAGGAAGACAACTGTAATTGAAAATAAAAGAACATTATAAGTTGGTCCGTGTAGTGACGGGTCCGTGTAGTGACGGATTAAGAATACGGAATGTCACTACCCCAATTCATCCCGTGGGTGTCGTAAGAGCCGACTAAGGGCGCAAAACAACGCAGGACACAAACCCTATACCAACCCGTCTGGCCAGCGTGGTATAGTAGGCCAAAACCTTCTTTCTAAGGAGAGGCCTATGTCCAGCAGTAGACTATTAAAGGCTGTTGATGTGTGTGATGATAAGTTTATAAAACCCTTAACGCTTGCTCGCATCAGATCAAAATGTGCTTCACGGAGAGTATGCTAATATATATATTTTGTTTGCTTGTTAATGGGATTTCCCAAAGTCATCTGTCATTGCGCTTGGAGGGATCATAGTGAAAGTAGTGTGCACATAAAGATTAATTAATAACTCAAAGCAAAGAGTATTCTAGATTTGTTTTAAAAATGGCCATGCTAGTTTCAGATGATGAAATATGAAATTTCATATACTTACATTTTCTTAAATTCTCCATAGGTTTTAGCCATCTTTAAACGTCTTACTGTACCGTCATTTGTGAATTGACTTGATGTATTAAGAAAATTATTTGGACACTAAATAGATATGAAAATATGTGTTTTTACTCTTACAAAAGCCCAATAATAAACAGATAATTACATATATGTTCTGTATCTATGTTTTCAGATGACGATAGGTTACGGCGCCAGATTTCCCAACGAAGAGTGTCCAGAAGCCATAATCATCATGGTCTTGGAGGTACAATCTCTTTTATCCTTATAATCTAGATATCACAGAGTTGCTTTCTTTATTTAGTAATCGAAAAGGCGTTTGTTCAAAGGTTCAAATCTGGAAATTAAAACGGTCGTAACTTTTAAACAGTTTTTTAAACTGCTAAAATTGCCAAAGACAAATATTATAAAAATAAACTGTTGATTGCCTGGGTGGTGCAGTTGGTAGCGTATGCGACTGCTGTGCTGAGGTCTTGGGTTCGATTCCCAATCAATCTGGCTTTCATAGTACAAGCTCTGCTTTGTTTGAAACTAAATGGCGTTGTGTGTTAGATGTCTATGCTGTGCTGAGGTTTTGGGTTTGGAAAAAATGTTTGTATGAAATGCAAATACATATTTGTTTCGGAGTTTTGGTGTTTTCTATCTATAATATGTATGTATTTACAAAAAAAAAGTATTTAAGTATTCTATCAGCCAATCTAGCTTTCATAGTACAAGCTTTGCTTAGTTTGAAACTAGATGGCGTTGTGTGTTACATGTCCTGGCTCTGCTTAATGTGGGATTAGACGGCCGTGTGTGAGATGTGTAAGGTTATTATTTTTTAAATATTATTATCTATCGAAACCGTACTGTAATGAAAAATCTTTGCTGGTATTAAAATGCTATCTTAACTAAATCTTTTCAGATCGTGGCTGGCACAGCCCTCTCTGGAGGTCTGACTAGTTTATTATACGCTAAAATGATCAGGCCGAACAGACACGTGTCTTCTGTTGGCTTCAGCAAGAAAGCTACCGTACGTACCTATTTCACTCTTTTTTAACCTTCTTAAAAAAAGGAGGGAGTTCTCAATTATGTTTATGGGCCTGTTGGTTAGCGACCCTGACTGTTAAGTAAGAGGTTGGGTTTGATTCCCACTTAGGACAAATAATTTAGTGATGAGCACGATCATCTGCCTAGGGGCTGGTTGTAATTTATCTACAAGGTTTTGTACTTGAAACTACTTAGAAATATATAAATATGTTTTGACCGTGGCACAGGCTCTACTCAGTTTCTGGCGGGTGAGGAGGGCTGGGGCGCAGTGGTCTCTTTCTGTGAAGCTGTAATGCTCCAGAAAGAGACCGCTGAACGGGATCGGAGGAGGGCCGATCCCGAGCGAAGAAGACGCCGACGACGTAATGAGCAGCCGACGGGACCGCGGGCCGCCAGAGAGTGGGGACCTCTGGTGGCAGATTAATTGCTGCGGTAGGGGAAAGGATGGCAGCCTGATCGCACTGAAAATGTGATCGGGCTGCAACATCTGGATAGGCTGAGAGGCAGGGAGAAGCCACTGGCTTTTCCTGAGATGGGACCTAGCTAGGTGCGGCGTCGATCTGGGGGACCTGAAATCACATGGCCCGGGTTCTCCCCAGAGCAGGGCGCCTAAGGCTGGCCGTCGGAGTGGTTTTTAGTGGAATCACCACATACTCCTGGCTCCTATATCCCCAAGGAGCCGGAGATCCGAAGGGATTTTCCACTCCGTCAACAAAAAAAAAAAAAAAAAAAGAAAAAGGCTCTACTCAGTTTAGCATCAGACGGCGAGGTATTTCAACATTTCATTAAATATACATATAAATTACATTTTTAAGGTGACTGCCTCTTCGGTGCAGTGGTAGCATATGTGATTACTGTGCTGAGGTCTCGGGTTTATTCCCGGGTCGGACCTAATATTTGTAAGATTTCCAAATATTTGTTTCGGAGTTTGGGTGTTTTAGATTTCATAGTATAATATGTATGTATTTACAAAAAAAGTATTCTATTAGTCAATCTAGCTTTCATAGTATTAGCTTTGCGTAGTTTGAAACTAGATGGCGTTGTGTGTAAAATGTCTGAAAATATAAAACACATTTATGATTAAAAACATTAAAAATTGTGTTATATATCATACAGGTGTGTCTTCGAGACGGTGAACTTTGTTTACAATTCCGAGTATGGGATTTAATGCATATGCATTTAATTGGCAGTACCATCACCGCTTATATGATGAAACCTATCAGGTAAGCTAATACATAGATATGATACATTATTACACAAAACAGTTGACACTTCAATTCAATTTTATTTATTTGTATAGATTGAGAACCATAGCTTACAGTTTACCTTGGCTGCAAATTTGTCATTACTATTATTATTGCTCAGGACTATTGAAGGAGAGTTTGTCCAGAACTATATCCAGCAGATGGAGCTGAAACAAGCCCGCGCGTTTCTCCTGTGGCCGATCACTGTAGTCCACGTCATCGACTCCAACAGCCCACTGTACGATTTATCAGCGCAAGACATGATGGACTTCAGGTAATATCCTCATACCTTAAACAAGTTAAGTCCTGGCTGATGATAAGCTGTTACCTACATTTGATGACGTTCCCTACTATATGTAAGAAACATTTTGACTGTATCTGTGGCGTAGTGGTAGCGTATGCGACTGCTGTGAGGAGGTCTTGCGTTCGATTCCCGGGTCGGACCAAATATTTGTATGATCCGCAAATATTTGTTTCGAAGTTTGGGTGTTTTCTAAGTATACTATGTACAGCAAAAATATATAGGTATTCTATCAGTCAATCTAGCTTTCATAGTACACGCTCTGCTTAGTTTGAAACTAGATGGCGTTGTGTCTCAGATGTCCGAAAATATTAATATTATTATTATTTTCAAGACCAATTTTATGACACCGGTACTCATTGGCTTTCGTACCTACATACACTCACCCTTAAATCCCTCGATGAGCCAAGCAGAGACGCATTAAGTGTCCATATTTTTTAAAACATGGAATGGAATAAACTTTATTGTAACTACCCCAATTTTCCGTTTTTACGAGAATCAAATTACTGTAAATGTACAAATGGTGGCCTTATCGTTAAAAGCAATTTCTTACAGGCAACCTTTGGATGGACAAATCTACTGTAAATAGAGACGTTCATGGGGATTTTTTTCTTTTCTTACTTCCTTCTCTTATCATTAAAAATAAATATATATAAACAACAATCACATTTAAAGCACACCTGAACACATTACAGACGAATGGATGACTCCCATAACACAGAATTTTCCTAGCATGGGGTCATTGATCAATGATTTTGTGTGTATTCTGTCTCTTTTTTTTTCTAAGTGTGTAAATAAGGTGTAATATTATGTATGTACCAGGTAAAAAAGATAAATAATAAAAAAAAAAACTGTGTACCTAACTAACCTAAGAAAATTATGTTGTATTAGAAAAATTGTACTTAATTTGGCGTTTTTAAATATTATTATTATTGTGGGCGTTCTCCATGACCAGTCGTGTCATGATTTTTGAACACATAGTTTGATAAAGCGTTATCGAGGAGAGAAGAGAAGGAAAACTTGAAACAAACCCTATACCAACCCGTCTAGCCAGCGTGGTATAGTAGGCCAAAACCTCCTTTTTAAGGAGAGGCCTATGTCCAGCAGTGGACTAGTATAGGCTGTTGATGTGTGATGATGATTATTATGGGTAGTTGTAAAAAATCGTAGGATTGCGAACTAGACATTAGACGCGACAGGAAACTAAATGCTGTTGTTGTTCCAGGTTCGAGATAGTTGTCTGCCTGACGGGTACTTCTAAGAACATGGGCAGCACAACACAGAGCAGGACGTCTTATTTGTCCAAAGAGATCATCTGGGGATACAGATTCAAGAATGTTGTACAGTAAGTCAATTTTACAGGCAGAACTAAGAGGCGCGACCAGAGTTGTGCCAGAGCCTTACAGAAAATCGGTGTTTCTTCTCACCGACTGCACGGATGGCGTAGTGGTTTAAGCGGTCACCACGCCGTTTCCCACTGCGCTGAGTGTTGTGGGTTCGATCCCCACATGGGACACCACTTTGTGTGATCATTTGTTCTTTGTGTATGTTTAATGTATGTTTGTAAAATTCCTCGCGATACAGGATATATATTTCTAATGCGAGAGTTGCCTTTAAAAACGAACAGACGACCGAATGGCGTAGTGGTTTGTGTAACGGACTGCTATTCCAAAGATCGCGGGTCCGATTCCCGCATTTGTGTGCATGAACATGTAATGTTTGATTTGGTCTGGGTGTTTCTATGTATAATAAGTATGTATTTACAAAAAGAAAGTATATATGTATATATATCAGTTGTCTAGTAGCTATAATACAAGCTCTGCTTAGTATGGGACTAGATGGCGTTGTGTGAATGTGGTACAAAAAAGCAACAAATAAAACTTTTGAGTTGAGGTGTCCGTGGACGCCGGTAGTCACTCGCCATCAGGTGACCCTTTGCTCGTTTGCCCCCTATATCATAAAAACACACGTTTCTATGAAATTCTCTATAATTTTAAGACTCACCATCTGTTCTTTTTCAGCTACAGCAAAGCCGACGAAGCATACAAAATTGACGACGACAATCTGAACACAGTCGAACAAGTTGATACTCCACTTTGCAGTGCGAGCTGTCTCAAGGAATTCGAAGCAGAAGTCAAGGGGTCCACCAACATCCTCAACGCCCCTGACAGTCCCATCGCGTCACTTCGAGAAGACTGTTCAACACCTTCTAGGTTTGACTCTTTGCACTCATCTCCTAACCTGAACAGAACCAACATGCAGAGGAGTTTCGGATGGAACTTTAAGAGGTTTTATCCTGACAGATATGGAGTCAAAGATGTTAAAGAAAAAGGTAGAAATACAGAACTTATATAAAGAGTGTTGTCAAATTTTAGTAGTACAAACTTTTCTTGATCGAAAATTTTATTTAAGAGTATAACGAACAAAAAATAATTTAAAAAAATAACCATTCTTTAAGAATCATATGCTATACTGGAAGGTTCGCTCCATTATTTTATTTTATACGCTCTTATATCTTCTTCTTCTATCTTATATCTATCTATTATTGATTGTATTACGGTAAGTATTATATATACGGTAGAGACTAGGTATTGTAGAGACTTATATGTTAGATGTAATAAAATTAGTATATTCGATGAATTGGGAGTTTTGAAACGCTGTAAAACCCTATATGTTATACAAATTCCAAGATTTTCTTTTAATTTAAAAGGGCTCTGGCAAATGTCTAAATTGTTTTAACGACAATACAAAAGGCTTAATGTTAAAAAGGCAATGTCATTGCTCTTGTTAAACCTTTTTTTTACATCTTATATATCTTCAAGAAACCTATAAAAGAATCCAGACGGATTGTAGTAGAATTAATTAGATTCTTAGTTTAATTAATATACGAATATAAATCTTGTAGATCATAATGTGCTCAATGATAGTATAGTGTAAAATGAAATTACCTAAATTTTAATAATTAATAAAATTATTATAAAACTGAACAGATAGTTTTTTTAACACGATTTTATTTTAATTAGCGGAGGTCTTCCCCATTTTTGCTGCATCTTTTGCCAGCGTCCCCAACGGCGTGAATATCGTTTATTGCGGTAAAAAGTTTCCTATGCTACTCGCTGATAATGTAGCTTTCAATTTGTGAAATAATTTTAAAATCGGTTTAGTGGTTTAGGCTTGAAAGCGTAACAAACCAACAAACTCATTTTCAAATTTATCATATAAGTATAGATATTTGTGCAACGACAGAATCAGGGAGCAGAAAAACCACAAAAGAACTCCGGTCGAGTTGGCCCATACGTGTTGGAGCATGGCTCTCCCACGGTCATATACTCAGCCCGTGACTTACGATTTCCGTTTTCCTTACTAAAATTTATTCTTCCTTTGTTCTGTCTAGTTGGCGTCCAGCCAAAGTCCTTCACAATGTCACTAATTACGCCGGCCCTAAATTAAAATTTCAAAAAGGGCCGGAAGGTAATATTTCAGTTTCCATTGTGATGAACTCCATACACCAAATAAACAAGTAAACTTAAAAAGCTTGTTAGTAGGTTCAAAATAAATGTTTGTGTAAAAATAACAACATGTCTCAGGTCATTGACCAGCTGTTCCTTTTCATTCACTGTTTAATATATAATTAACATATCTATTAATAAACACACTTTATGCCCTAAAAAAAATTGTTTTTTTTGGCATCGCAGGGAATGTTTACGGGAGAAGTACTTTAATTAGATATCAGAATTCAAACTTTCGTAAGTAGTATTTACATATGTTTTTTATGGAATAGGGAGCAAACGAGCAGACGGGTCACCTGCACGAAAGCGACTACCGCCGCCCATCATCAACATCAACAGCCTATACTAGTCCACTGCTGGACATAGGCCTCTCCTTAGAAAGGAGGTTTTGGCCTACTATACCACGCTGGCCAGACGGGTTGGTATAGGGTTTGTTTCAAGTATTCCTTCTCTTTGCAGTGCTGTTGTCCTGCTTAGTTTGCTCCCTTAGTCGGCTCTTAGTCGACACCCACGGGATGAATTGAGGTGGTAACAATTTGTATTCTTAATCCGTCACCACACGCCGCCCATGAACGCCTGCAACTCAGGAATGACAAGCGAGTTGCCGGCCTTTTAGGAAGGAGTATGCTCTTTTCTTGAAGGCTTGAAGGTCGTATCTGTCCGGAAAAAATGCAGACGATAACCCGTTCCACAGGTTGGTAGTGCGAGGCAAAAAATGTCTCGGAAAGCGCACAGTGGTGGAGTGCCAATTATCCAAGTGGTGGGGATGAAAATTTTGCCGTGTGGAACGATGGCGGAAAGTTGCGGCCCGTATTAGTCCGAACAATTTTTCGGAGCACTCTCCATGATATATACGATAGAGAATGCAGAGCGAAGCTATATCTCTACGCAACGCCAAGGGTATTGCTGGGGGGTATCGTTTGCGCTCTAACGAGCATCACCTGATGGTAAGTGGCTACCGCCGCCCATGAACACCTGCAACTCAGGAGTCCCCAAGTGCGTTGCCATCGTTTAAATTACATGTTACAGTTACATGTAAATAATTTCAATATGTTTATAAAGTGAAAAGTTCTTCAGGCGCGTTGGGCATTTTTGAACAACAAACAAAAGAATTTATTTTATGGTTTAACAGAAAACTCATTTTTTGAGTTGGAAAAGAAACAATAGACGGATATCGGATATCGGACGCGAGAAGATGGCACAATGTCAGCACTGCGCAGCCGACTGGGACTCCGCCCAGCACACGCTGGAAGACTGCCCCGCGTGGGCGTCTGAACGCGAAGTCCTGGTCGGCCAAATTGGACGAGTCCTGTCCCCGCCAGCAATTATTGCTGCCATGCTGGTGGGGGAGGAGGGATGGGGCGCAGTGGTCTCTTTCTGTGAAGATGTAATGCTCCAGAAAGAGAACGCTGAACGGGATCGGGAAAGGGCCGATCCTGAACGTAGAGGACGTCGGCGCCGATAACAGCCTTCGATTGAAGGGGGAAAGTGTTCTCCCCTGGGATAAGGCCTGATTAGGCATGGTGTCAATTCGGGGAGGAGATGAAATAACATGGTCCGGGTCCACCCCAGAGTAGGACACCTGAGGCCGGCCGTCGGGGTGATTTTTAGTGAATTCACCAGATACTCCTGGCTCCTGAGTCCCCGAGAAGCAGGGATTTTCCACCCCATCAAGAAAAAAACAAAATAAAAAGGCCGGTAACACATTTATAACTCAGTAGTCAGTTATATTACCATCATTTTCAGTTAAAATACTATCATAAAAATATCTAAATCTTACACCTATTGTTTTTTTACGTAATTCTTAATTGTGGTAACTAATTGATTTGACATTGTACAATGTTATATTGTGGTATTCATTATTTTTGGCTATTATATCACTTTATTATAATGCTTTGTCATAACGAAGATAGAGTATTGTATCATAAATTGTTAACAACACCAGTTCGGTACCTATTAGGGACACAGTGCAGTAGGGGCTCAGTAAATCAATCAGAATTATATCTGCAAGAATGTACTCCATGCTTTGTGTTAGCCATCTGAAATATGTATGTATGTATTCTGCCGTGGGAGAGCAAAAAATGCTTCGGCACTAAGGCAAAGTAGGCACGTGCACGTAGATTTTTTTTTTACACTCAAAACATATATGCTTAACATAAAAAAAACTGTGTCAGTAAGTATGCACATACTTACACAATATAAACAATTCCTTAATTCTATAGAGATGTTTAAGGTTGACATTTAGTATTATTTTTTTTATATTACGTAATTGCCACTAATTCTTTGCTCTCATTTTCTGATACCTAAGAAGATTAAGGCTAGGGCGTGTACACAAAAATGCAGTTGCTACAACTGCAGCTGTAGTTGAGATTACTCTATATTTTGTAGTAATACCCTATCATCATCATCAGCAGCCTTTACTAGTCCACTGCTGGACATAGGCCTCTCCTTAGAAAGGAGGTTTTGGCCTACTACTACTACTACTAGTAATACCCCAGGTTTTTCGCATATCTTCGCAAAAATATACCAGATTCAGATACAAGAAACTGTCCGAGATCAATAGGGCATTAAAGAAGTCCGAATTTAAATTTAAATTTACTTGCGAGAAAACGCCAGTTCCTGGGTCAGGAACTGGCGTTTTCTCGCAAGATATCACTAACGTCATGGCAACACAGTTCAATATTCCAATAACTTACTCCGCAACAACGACCATGTCAAGGGGTATTAAGGACTATAACATCCGAATACTATCCGACAGTATTGCCGTCCACCTTGAAACATTAAATGAGGTTCTCCTCTAATAGATTAAAGGGCAAAGTAAGTCACATGGGAACGACGCCGCAGATGAGTTGGCAAGGAGTGGCTCGGCAACCCCAGCTACCGGGCCAGCTATACTCTTGCCACTACCTTTCAACCAACTTCGATTCTGGGCCAGACAACGGACTCGTGAAGCACACAAGCAGAGATGGAAAACTCACGTGAGGATCCGGAAACTGGGACTCGAGGTGTCTCCGCACAAATCTGAGGACTTGTACTTGCATGAGCCTTGGAATATCCAGAGGGATCCAGTCTCATAGTAGGTGGCATTCGCATCGACATCGAGTCCTCGACGAGGTATCTGGGGCTCGTTCTGCGTCGGTATTGTGGGACTTGAGAAACAGAGAACCAGAAATCCTAACTTTGCTAGGTCCTCATGGAGGAGTGGAGGGAAAGACTTGGGCAACCAAGTGCTGCCCACGCCGTCATAGCGGTGGTGAGACCCGTTATGGAGGTTTGGCTTGAGAGGATACATGAAACCCTCTCATATCGGCTGACGTAGGAGATCCTGACCTGTGTCTGATCCGCAAAGAACCATCCTAACTTTGCTACCACCTGCTGCTGGTTGCCACCATTGCAGTGGCCAGAGCGTGGACAGGGCGCTCCACACGCTGCTGGAATGCCCGGCGTAGCGTGGGTGGAGCAGAGGTGTGGCCTCGTGACGGCCATCGAAGTGAGGATTCTCTAGCTCGGTACCATGATGGTTGCGATGGTACGGAGCAAGTTATGCTCGAGAAGAAGAGGGTGGAGAGGGACCTGACGAAACTTAGAACTCTCAAGGTCCGCGACGCCCGGGAAAGGACCAGGTACTGCAGGCGGCGGAGGTCGCTTAATCACGTCCATTCAGAATAGGTGCCTGGGGGTGACAGGTGAGGCCCTCTATCACCAAAACAAAAATAAAGGCCCGGACGTCTTAATAAAAGCTGTTTTCGGATTCCCCCCCCCCCCCCCCCTCCTATTTCAGGCGCAGTGTGTGGCTTTAGTCGGTTCGATTCCAATAAACCGCCTACGCAAACCCTGGTGGGGAAA